GTAATTAAAAATCCTGCAGATGGTACGGCGTGTAACGGTGCGCGGATTGGACCGTAGCCAGGGTGGCATTTCCCACCAATCGCGTCATCCCGATTCCACCAATTATGTCATCCTGAGCCGGAGCAACACTTGGTGAAAAAGGCTGCCGTGGCTGCGCTCGAGTTCAAGCCTCTAAATGGGCCCTATCAATTGCAGGGATGGGGCAGTTTGGCGACGGGGGGCATATTGCACTTTCGCTGTTTCGCATCGACGTGCCGACCCATTTGGAGTGCTATTTTGTGAACCTACAGGAGTTGACAAGTTTTACCATGACGAGCTTGCTCGAGCTTCACGAGAGCTCGACCCCCCTCCGTCCCCGAATCGCGCCGCACGGATCATGACCATGCCTCCGTGCTCTTTTGCCGCATGGGTGGAGACTGCACCAATGAGGAAGGCAGTTTCTCCGTCTCCGCCCATACGACCAGCGTGGACAGTGCCTTCGGAATGAGACCACCGAATATGAGCAAAGCCTCTGGGACTCATTCGAAAAACTAGCCGATTTTCATAAAATGCTAAACAGGGTTGACAGAGCTCTTCCACAGAACCAGTTTTTGTCAGAATCCCAAATACCCTTAGCACATTTCAGGCTCGCGCAGAGAGGGGAGCCAAGAAAGGTCAAGCACGTCGTAAAAACTATTTCCAAGCCATGGTGAGCATGTCGTTCAGTAGGACCTCAAGACGGTAAAAAGAGTGATAAGCGAGGTCAAAAGTTGTTTACAGGACCAGTACCAAACAACTATCATGGGAGGTGGAACTACCATAGGAGGAGCAACTGCAATTAATGAAAGAGAAGACGAAGATTTCGCGGAAAAGGTTCCGATTCATTTGAAAAGGCTCGTAATCTGATAAAGCCTAGCGGAAACCTTGCAGCCTGCAGCCAAGACAGGAAAACTCACCGGGGCACTCGCAGCTGCGCACCACGGCCGATAACGTCGTTCTATGCAGTTTGAGCCCGATTCCCTCGCGGTCTTCTCGCACCATGGAAAAAATGGGTACTCGACTACTTGGACCTTTATGTGT